AAAAGCCTCAGTGGGTTACAAAAGCACAACTCAGGTTTGGAAATTTACCCGACACAAAATCCCCAAATCCTCACTTCGTCACCAGCAGGAAGTCTCCCTGCCCACAACCCCTGGTGAGCTTCACTCCCAGTTTGGGTCAGCAGCTGTGTCCCCGAGCAGAGCCCTGGGCTGGGCTGGCTCTGAGGCTGCTCTAAGGCTGTGCCCAGCCCCAGTGTGCCCTGCTGGAATTCAGGACATCCCTCTGGCTCTCCTGGGTTGCCAGGACCCCTGCCAGGTGGCTCAGAGACCCTGGCACAGAGCCCAAGATGCCTGTGGTTTGATTATGACCCATGGAGCAAATTACCAACCTTATATGAAGATCTGCAAGCCACAACAGTTTAGAATGATAGTGAATTTATCATGGGGTGGAAAATAAATTTTTTGGGTTTTTAGAATGGGGGTTCAGGGGGCAAGATGGAGGGATCTGGGTGTGTCCAGCCTTTCTCCTTCTTCTTGGCCTCCATCTTTTGCTGTGATGTTGGCACTTTTGGATTGGTTTAGAGTAGAAGCTCACTGTCTAACATAGGTGATAGGTATTGGAAAGTAATTTTACTGGAAGTAATTGGAAGTATTTGGAATACTAATTGTATTGGAAGTAATTGGAAAGTATTGTACACGTAGTTTTTAGTATAAAAAGATAACACCACCCCAGGGCAGGCAGAGTGCCTTGGGCTGCCTTGCTGAGTGGACCTTGGCAGGACAGGAGAAAGAATTTTATAGATAAGATACAATAAACAACCTTGAGACTGAGAATTGAAGAGTTCTGACTCCTTTTTGACTGCTGGGCTGGGAAAAGAGACTTTTCAACTTATCTTGCGGTCACTCTGACCAGCAAGAGTCCTGAGAGTGCCTCACAGAAAGTGAGACTGTGCCTCAGCACCCCGTCCCAGGCACCACAGCCCTGCAGCTGCAGCCCCAGCCCAGCTCCTGTGGTATTCTTATATTTTATGAAAAATGTTTTCATCAAGTTTTTTTCCTTAGGAAGCTGAGAAGCTTCAGCTTCTCTATGTTTTACTTTTTTGGAAAGTAATTTAGAAAAGTGTTTATCTAGCATGTGAATTGTTTTTAATTAATAACTAATCACAGCCAGCTGTGTCAGATTCCCTAAGTCTGTCATGGGTTTTTATTATCATTCCTTTCTAGCCTTGATGTCTAGCCTCTGATGTCTCTTTTCCCTTTCTTCAGTATAGTTTTAATATATCATTTTCATATCATATCATATCATAAAATAATAAATCCACCTTCTGAAAACTTAGAGTCAATTCTCATCTCTCACCTCATCCTAAACCCCTCACAACACCTCAACAATTAAAAACCACACTCCTGCCCTCATTTTCCCAGCCCCTGCAGTTCCAGTGAGACTGAGATATGGAAATTCACCTGCAGGGTAAATATCATAAGTAAATAGCCCTGTCACCTTCCAGAGCAGTTTTCCCAGCTGGCAGGGATGCTGGCTGTGCAGCAGGGCCACGCTGCCTGTGCATGGTTGCTGCCTGGCTCAGGATTCCCTTCCTTTCCCCTCTTTCCAGCTTGCTGTGGTGTAGACGTAAAACAAAGCAGAACTGTTGACAGTGCTTCCAAGAAATGAATGCAACCAGAAAAAATTGGCCTGGAAAACAAAACCCATTCTGCTTTCCTTGCAAAAAGTTCATGAGGGCTGCCTGCTGTGCTCCTGTAAATCAATATATTTGTATCTCCTTCTTCCTAAGCCCAGCTGTGTAACGTGGGTGCCCATATGGAGCAGAAGGAAGTCAGATATTTTTCCCTGGAGCCTCCAGGGTTTGTTCCACCTTGAAACCTCTTCTGCCAAAGGACTGTCCCACAGCATCCACTCCCCAAGTGTCACAGGCAGCTTAGCCTGACCCCAGGAGCTGTCAGTCAGCAGTGATGTGCTGGCAGCTGGCCTGCCCACAAATATCTGTATTTCACAAATAAAGCAGGTTAATTTAAACCACTACATCTGCAGCAGGCTGACAGCTCCCTAAGGGCCCTTTTAAAGCTAAGACTTGGGCAATCATTGGTTCTGCAATGTATCATAGTGCTCTGCAGGCCTTTTAAATAGAGTGGTCTGGCCAAGATGTGGCTGGATTTAGTCCTGTGCTCAAAGACACAAGTGCTGCCAAAAAAGTGAAGGCTGAACAGTCAAAGGAGCTCCCAAGACTGTTTTACTGAAATTATTTCAATTTAGGTGATATATAAAAGATATCTCCTTTTACATAGAGGCCACCCTTCCCTTCATTTAAGAAACAAAAGCTCTCATTGAACATGCTCTGACATCTCACAAGACCTTCACCTAAGCAAAAAGCAGAAGCAGTAACTTTGTATTTTAATTGCATAATGAATGTACCTGAGTTCAGGCTTGTACACTCAGTTCTGCCACACCCACAGGTGATTAAAATACATCAGCCATGACCACAAGGACTCGCAAACACAGTAAAATCAAAAAACCACAATTCTGTTTTTTGTCTTCTTGGTAAACTTCAAATCTTGATTTGGGTTCTGAAGGCATCATTTCGCATTGTTCCTGGCAGGTCCCAGCAGGTCTCAGGAGCTTGTTCTGCTGAGGAGCCCTGAAGAAGGGAAAATGAGTCCATGACATGGAGCCCTCGTTGTGGTGGGATGAGCATCACTTCTTAGCTGCAGCCAGAGCTCTGTATGAGGAAAACAATCCACCCTACCCAAACTGAGCCGAGCAGGAGCTGCTTGAGGGCCCTGCTCTGGGCACTGTGGCTGTGGGAGCCCCCCAGTGGGCAGCAGGAGGGGACACAGAATGGCTGGCAGGGGACAGACAGAGGCAGGGTGGTCTCAGATGTCAAACCCCCGGCTGCCTCCCCAGGGAAGGCTCCAGGCTGGCCTGAGCAGCAGCACCGGAGATGGGGGAGGCATTTAGGTGTCCCCTGACAGAGCTGTGTCACCACCACAGGCAGAGCAGAGGCCCAGGAGGAGCCTGGTTTTATTCCTGGCCCTGGCACATGCTGCAGGTCAAGGCTGCAATGCTTGGGTGAATTGCACTCATAACAAAGCTGGTATCTGTTGACTCTCACAGCTGATTGTTTTGGAACAATAATTCACAGTTGCCTCCCTGGATACAGAGAGCTGAGTGACAGCTTGGATAAGCAGCACACAGCCTTGCCCTGAGGATCTGCAGTTGATGACTAAACCACCAATTCTGCTATTGAGATTCTCTGCTTTGACAGCCCTTGGGGGCACAATGTAGGATATTTTCTAAGCATCAATTGTGAAAAAACCCTTCCCTTTCCGGTGCTGCAATTAGCTTGTCCCTCTTGGGCAGGAAGGGAGGTGGTTTCAGACCCTCAGCTCCCCCAGCCAAGGCTCAGGCTGCTGACCCAGTTAGGAGCTCTCCTGTGCAGGGCAAATTAGTGCAGCATAATGCAATATGGGATGCAGGAATGATCAGCATGAGCACTGTGACTTTGATCTCAGCCATGGGAAGGGCTGCATTTCACTTGACACCAATCTTGTGACCTCATTCCCAGCACATGCCAGTGCCCCTTGGTTTTTTTTCAATGCACTTTGGCTTTTGTTCTCCTCATTTGCTTTCGAGACAGGAAGATGTGGCCACAACCAGCATTTTCAGAGAGGTGAGCACTGATCACTGAACGTTTTTTAGCAAAGGTTAGCTGCAGAAGACCACAGAACTACATTATCCCTCCTTTGGAATGCCCACATTGCCAGGATAAGAGAGTCAGGGGAAAGTACCAGCTCATGTAGAGAAATGCTGCCAAAGAGAGCCCTGAGGGCACTACCACCCCTCTGGCCACTGAGCAAGGACAGAGACCAGGAAACTCATTCCCTCCACTCTCCTGTGTTCACAAAATACTGAGGGCACTTCAGTCTCAGCCTGCAGAGAAGAGTGAATATTGATATTTTTACACATTGAACCACTCCTCTCAGAGCTGTGCAGTGAAAATAATACAAAACCACCAAACCTAGAGGCAGTAGTTAAGCTGCAATAGGGACAATTCAGCTAGTTAGGAAAATATCCTACAATTCTGGACAACAAAGGTGGAAAAATGTTGAACGGGGCAATCAAATGTTGATAATGCAATCTGTGTCCTGGAAAAAGTCAAAGCTTTCCCCAACAAGGCACTGAGCAATGAGGTCTAACTGAGCAACTTCTAACTTTAGTGGGGCTGGACTAGACACCTTCAAATGCCCCTTCTGATCTAAACTGTCTCAGCTGACTTTCTGGCCTAGGCTGTGATCTGGGGTTATTTTGCAGACAGGAGGAGAGAGCAGGTGAACAGGAAAGAGATCGAAGATCCCCCAGGCAAGAACAAGCCTGGTAAATAACCTGGTTTGGCACTCTCAGCCTCACAAGAGGCAGGCACAGCACCTCACAAGGGTTCTTCATCCTACTGGAGAGACAAAGATAAATAGAGAAATTTCACAGTAGGGTCCTCCTAGGGAACAGAGGGATGGAGGATTTAGCAGGCACAAACCATGCCCTGGTACTCACCAGGAAGATGATGGTGATGAACAGTTCATTAGGTCCTCTCTGGGTCAGAGATTCAGAGGTAAAACAAACACAAGGTAAGTCTGAAATCACTTTATTGAAAAGTTTCATACAAGAGTAGTCAGTCAGAGAAATTATTCAAGTGATACAGTAATTCACAGACAAGCCCCTCTCACATCCCAACTCCAGGCCAATTCATTTACAGATGTCTTGTCCCAGTCAGTTTTTCAGGGCCTTTTGATGTCAGTGAGCTTCAGTGCAGCACAGGGAGCAGAGTCTGTTTTTACACCAAATTAAATTAGCCATGACAGAAATTTTTCCTGTGAGAGGCATGAAAGCCCCTGTAGGTCTGTTAAGAATGCTGCTTACAACATTAGGCACCACTGCCATCTACCCCAGCTGATTCAGAACAGACTGAAAGACTGTAACAAAATATTCTGCCAATAAAAATCTTCTAGAAAAACAGTATAAAAAGTACATATATATATATATATATATAGCATAAAGCTACCAAAAAGTGACTGTGCCATTTCCCCTCTTATACAAATAATATTTTTTTAAAAAACACAATACATTAGTAATTCACCCAGTATATAACATATTGCACCTTTCCAGAGTCCTCCATGCAGCAGGAGCCCCATACAGTATGTGGGCACTCCAGGATGGACCTGCAGCTCCCCTTTAGTTCTGCCTGTCTCTACAGCAGCTGCCAAGAGTTTGGCTACCACAGGTTTAGGATTCAGAAAGAAGGAAGCTGCAAGATGGCAAACCAATTATCTGCAAATCAATACCATTTCTTCTCAGGAAGGAGAAGAACCCATCACAGGAATCTCTTGATTTGTTAAAAGAACCATATATTCCGTGTTGCTGGTGTCAGTGAGACAATCCAGTTTTGAGTGCTTGTATGTCAGTTTTTACTGGCAGAGTACTCCCCATGTGCCAGAGGTACCTGCAGCACCTGGCAGTGATTTCTGGCCTAGCAAGGACATACAGCCAAACCACAGGAGCACATAAAACCAGGTCAGTTTACTTTGTTTCATGATAAAACACTGTAAGACAGCAACAGACACAGTGTTGTGGGCCTGCTATCTGAAAATGATTAACATTGATTCCTCAATCCAAGTTTTTGGTCACCTGGAGGGTTTTAGATAGAAGAGCAATTCCTGTCTTGCCCTTGCTTTTCCAGGCACGAGCTTCAGTCCCAGTAACCATGCACAGGTATGCAGAAAAGGAGCTGAATTCCCAGGAACTGAAAATACTGCTGTGTGTGGAACCCACCCTGTATTTGGTCACTTAATCATCTCAAATAACTCAGCAGGAACTTACTAACTCTCCATATAACCTTGAAGAATACCAGGAATGGCCTTTAGAATTGAGGACACCCAGATCAGATGATTTGATGGAAGGAGCACTAACCCACCCTCGCAGAGGTAGAACAGGGATGGGGATTTTTGTTAGGGGGGATTTTTGTTGGCTTTCTTTAGCAGAGAGCTGGCAGCAGCCAGAGCCCCTCCCTGCACAAAGCGCACAAAGTTATCTCCTGCCAGAGGCCCCAGGGCATAGAGCCCTTTCTCCTGAGCGCATTCATAGGTGAAGGGATCAACATCTATGGGATTCCTCTTGGGATTCACTGGCTGCTCGCTGTCCAGGGCCAAGTCAGTGCCATTATTTGGCAGAAAGGAGAGGTTGGGGTTTGAGCCAGTTAGAACAAGAGCCATGGAAATTTTATAAGCTTTCTGACAGCCGTTCTTGTCTTGAAAGATGCATTTCTTGTCCTTGCCAAAGGAGAGCACGTGATGTTCAGGGAGGCTGATGTAGTGCTCATAGGGCCCAGCACAGGCAGCTGTCTGTTCTTTCATCATCTGGTGGACCTTGTGGTATTCAGGGTACATTGTTTTGGGGAGCTGGTTAAAAATAAGGCCAGGATCAGTGACTCGTCTCCGAAAAACGTGGATTACTGGAATATTGCAATGGTGAGCAAAGAGAATGGCATCAGCAGCTGTCAGACCAGCACCTACAATCAAGACTGGATCTGTCATGATGCCAACACTGTTATTCTTCACTGCTTCTTCAAGGGCAGACAGCTGGTGGTGGACATAGGAAAGGTTTTCTCCCTTGACCCCAAGCCAGGTAGGATTGTCATATGTTCCTGTAGCCAGGACCACATTTTCTGCACAGATGGAGAAGAGCTCTTTATCACCTTCCATAGTTTTGAAAAATCCATCCACCTGAAAGACCTCTGCACTCTTTTCATTAGAGCTCCAGACTGAGTCACTATCCTCCTGCAGATCTTTCTGGGTGTGGTTGGAGATGCTCTCTGCACTCACTTTCCTCACAGAGGTCACAACAGTGCCACATCTGAAATTCTTCTGCAGTCCTTTCTTCACCACATAGTGTTGGTAATATTGAGCAATGTCCTCTGCTGTGGCTCTATTGTTTTTGAGGCCTCTGTAATAAAGGACAAACAAAGGTCAAGCAGCAGTTAAGTAAGAGACTGGAATTTGTCCCCTCTTGCACTCAATGTATCCTAGAGCCATCTACCCTGGCACTACAGAGAAGACTGATCTAGTTTCCCTGACTTCAGCAAAGTTATTCCTGACATAGAGAGCTAACAGTCAGGTCCAGAAGCTGTTGGACACAGGCAGCTTTCTGTAGCATTAATCCCAACCCCAAGAACATGGCTGGTTATTTAAGCCTTCCTCTAATATCTTGCTTCCAAGTCCATTTTTAACACCTGGACTTCTTAAGATTAATTGTGACTCATGTAAAGAGAAGCAGCACCTCAGAGAATGCACAGCAGCAGAAGTGACTGTAATTGTCATCAGGGGCAGCAGCAGAAGCCAGGTGACCATGATTTCAAGCTTTACTCAGAACTCTTGGTCACAGATTCATCTCCCCATTGGGTATGGAGAAGGACACATTCCAAGCAGCACTGCAACTTTATCTGAATCACTCAGTATAAAACAGACTGGCTTTGGGGTGCAGGAGAGTGTTCTTTCTCTCTCTAAAATCATCCATAACAGATGGGTAGTTACATTCAAGAAGTCCATTCCAGGTTCTCTAAAAATCTCCAGATGTTTGCAGATGATCACACATGCATGTCTCACCTTTTCTTTTGCTTTAACCATTCTTTGAAAGGGAGATCTGGGAGTCCCATCCATTCCCCTTTGCTCAGGGTAAACATAGAGCCCTCTATAGACTGGAACAAGAAACAAAGAAAAATAACTTTTATTTTTTTATTTAAAAACTGAAAGATTACTGATTTCATCATTTGTGCCATATTGAAACATGGATAAGATATCTCCTCTGATCTGCTGTCATGGAAACCATCCATGTTCTCCAAAAAGAACAAGAGATGGGGAATATAAAGGCTTGTTTTCCTTTTAAACTTTCACTTGTCTCTCTGTATAAGATGTAACACAGCTGACTGGGATTTTAGAGGAGCTTTTCTCTCTGCAGTCAGCCCATTTGGCCATTACACAACACACAGACCCCAGCTGGCTCCACTTCACTTACATGCCAGGCCCCTCCAGGAGCGTTTCTGCCCAGGACCAGGTGGGGGATGGCTCTGTCAGGCTCATGCCACCAGCTGAGCACAGATTCTGCTGTCCCATCAAAGTCGGTGTCTGGCCGCTGCAGGGTGTCAAACAGGAGAGCCACGGGGCTGTGGGATCGTCCCTCCAAGCCTTCAGACAGATACTCCAGATCCTGCAGAGAGAAGGAGCAGATGCTCAAAGGGCATGTAGTGCCAGGCAGCAAACTGCTTCCATTCCATTTTTACTGCTTGTCACTCCAGCACCTCTGAGCAGTGGGCTTGGGCACACAGACCTGCTCCTGCCCAAGGGCTGCCTCCAGGATCTTGGCAGCAACGCTGGCATTGCAGACAAGGGAGGTCTGGATTACAAAGCAAAATGCTTTGTGATGTGCTTAAGGCTCATTCTGTCTGTGTACTTTGAAAATCCAAACAAGGTAATCACCCATGATACACCCCTGGGATGCTTTGCTGGGATGTCATAGTTTATCTTTACACACACCTGGTCCAAAACAGAGACTTCTGGTGCCTCTTCCAGTTTTCTCTGAAGAATAGGATGAGGATGAAGAGCATGTCTTTTGAAATAAGGGGTGTAACCTGACAGCAAATATGAGAGACAGATTCCTGAAGGTCCATTCCCTGAAAAACAAAATTGAGAAGAGTTTAGACTTCTGGAGATAGAGCAGTTCTTTGAGAAGATGCAGACCAATTTAAAAGACATGACACTGCCATGGATACAGGGGATTTCCTGTTCCAGAATGCACCTATTGGATGGAGTTGGGGACAGCATTTTATTTTACCCTTCACTTCACTGGCTCCTATTTGCATTGCAAGGTCCTTAGCAATTGCTGAAAAGACACAGGGTTAAATAAGTCAGAGGCTGCCCTCAACTGAAGCTTGAAGTCTCTAGCATGGTGATGAATGGAGTTATTTCTCTAAAATTAGTGGTCTAGAAGCTGATCACGGGCTGACCAGGGGCCTCAGCTCTCCTGGAAGCACATTTCACACCAGTGCAGAGTAGTTCACTGTGCAAAGGATACAAGATCCAGAAAAGATGGTGATTATTGAAGTGAAGGGGAACCAGTTCTTCTCAGCAGGAAATTCCATCTTTTCAGGGATATTTGGCAATATAGCTTTGACTAATGGGTCTTGAGGACACTTTCAAATGGGAAGCAGCCCTACTGTGGTACTGCAGTGTGTTAAGGAAAGTCTCTCTGCCATGTCAAGACAAGAACACAGCACTGAACAGGTTTCTGGATGGCTGAACCCCTTTGCTGACCACCCAACAGCCAGCGGAAAAACTAGATCAGTGTGACTCCAAAGCCCAGTGAGAGTAGCCCGTGGAAAGTTTGCACATGGCTGTTCTCCAGCATGTTCAATATTTTACAGTGTCTATGTCTCTGCCAGCCTGTCTGGCTGCCCAAAATCCACGACAGTGCAGTGACGAGGAGGGGAGAGAGCCCAAGTGACAGCAGCCTCTTGACACGGTGCCAGTGCTCAAGGGTGGCTGGAGCAAAGGCTGATCCTTGAAGATTCCAAAAAAGTGAGGTCATGGCTGTAAAGCCAAGAGTGAGCTATGTGAGGGGCAGCCCGTGTCACAGCTGGGGACAAAGGCTGCCGTGCTGACACAAGCCAGCAGCTGCAGGTCAGCGTTTGGAATATTCCACTTGCAGGAAAGTTGGCCAAAACCAACAGCAGCAGATACTAAAAACAAACTAAACTGCAGATATAGTAAAATACAACAAATTTCAGGTCACTACTTTGCTTTAGGAAGTACAAGGAGGTACCTAAGCCAAACTTCACCACCTGAGCGCTCAACACTCAGAGGATTTATTCTGAACCACGTCTAAGTTTGACATGGATGATCACAAGAACATCTGGGGCTCAAGATATTTTAAAATGCTTCCATGAGGCTGCCAGCAGAGCTGAGGCAGCACACTGCCTTCAGGAGCAGGGCCTGGGGAAGTGGCTGGAGCCTTCATGCAGTGTTATCCAGCTGCAGTGAAACATCTGGGCTGCTTCAGCCCCACAGCCTCCTTAGAGTGCAGCTCTTCCCAGTGCTGCTTCTGAGGCTTTAGGGGCATCTCCACCCTGGCTCCCTGTACGGGTGCACTAGGGAGGCACCAAAATATCCTCCTTCCCACCTAGAGACCTTTACAATGAGCAGCACAAAGGCATTCTCAGATAAGAACATGCTAGAAGTAGTGTCCTTGTCAAAGCTGCTGTTAGCAGGGATTAGGGGTGATTGATGCAGTGCTCTGACTTTGGAGCAGCTGCCTCGGGGGCTTTGAATTCAGTGCCAGATAAGGAGGGAAGCCAGCTCTGCAAGGCACGGGACGCTCAGAGGAGCAAGGTCCAGCACCTCCACAGCTCATGGCTGGTCACAGGGGAAGGCTCTGACATCATTGCTTTGCTCAAGAATCACCTCACACTGCAAGATCCCTCTTGAAGTTAGTTGAAGACAGTTATTATATAACCTGGGTTTTTTAACTGGTTTTAAGCTGGTTTTAAAACTGCATTTTATCAGTCTATTAAATCTGTACAAAATCAGTGTAGCTCACTCATGTTTTAAAAGAAATCTGTGAAAAATTCAAGAAAGCTTAACAGCATCTGGAGTACTTTCTAAACAGACATAATGGTGGAAAAGCTCACACAAACCTACCTGCAATTCAAGCACTACAGATAATCCCAGCAAGCTGATTACCTATCTGTACTGAAAAGGTTTCAAATCCTTCTAAATATTCAACAGAGAAAAAGCAGGCTGAGATGAACAGATGCTCAAAAGGTTACCGATTTCACCATTAAAAATAGGTATGTGTTTTAATTTGTAAAATATCTTGTTCCTTACTTCTCACAACTCTGAGAGGTCTCTCAGTGTTATAGGAAGTCTGGCTGTCTGGAAAGGATGCAGAAACAGCAGTCAGGCATTTCTGCTTTGAGTGAGAACATGTGGAAGTGAACAGAATTAAAGGCAGCAAGTCCAAAGCAACAACAGCACAGGAGAGCCCAGCAGTCCTGGCAGGAGAGGACTTACCTATGATCACAACAGGAATTGTCTTGAGCCCACTCCTGTTTGAAGGCCTGGTCACTAATGGACACATCTTCCCATCTGGAAGCATTTATGCTCTGGAATCCACCTGCTGAAATAAATATATTTTGAATTATTTTCATTTTTTGACAAAAAAACACAAGCAAACAAACAAGAAAAACCCCACAAGATTTTCTCCAGCCCACAAACTGAGGCTAATCTAAAGTACTATTACCCTTGCACTGCAGACTGTCACATTACACTTCCACACTCAGGACAGACCTCCTTATCTTTTTCTCCTGCTGACCCCAAAATAAAAGGAGGATTTTCTGATTATGCACCACAAAAGGGGGACAGAACAGTTATCTTTCTTTTTCAGACATGAATTCCAGTTACTCCAGGACAACTGGCAATTTCAGCAACCCTCTGAATACATTAAATGAAGTGTTGCACCTTGTTAATAAAAACTTCACTTCTGACCATACTCTGTAGAAAATGGTATCATTATCACAAACACTTTAAGTAACTTGTGCATTTACTGATAAGTGAAGGAAACCTGACTCAAGACTTCTGCCCAAAGGCTGGAAATCTCCCGGCTGCATTTTCAAATAGGTACCATTCTATCACTATACGTTTTTTTGAGAAGTGGTAGATTAGTTCTGGAACCTCCTTTCTCAATTTTCCAGAAAATGGAGAGTTCTAGGTCTGAACAAGTAAATAACAAGTCTCTGAACAAAATATGCGGCATAATTATCTTGGAGACTAAGGTGTCATTAGAGTGGAATCTACAAAACTAATCTAATAATTATGTAAACATCCAGTGAACAGTGAATGCTTCTGCCATTCCTGCAGGAATCCTACCACGTCAAACAATGACTTTAGTTTTCCATGGAATTCAACTCTACTGTCGCTAACCTAGAGAAGTTATTTTTACCACAATAAATGTGAGATTTCTGAAAATCAGCATAAGCTTTAAAGTTATTCTACAGAAAATACTTTCTTTTATAAAACCCTTATTGTCATTTTGGAAAGCTAAGCAAAATCCATGGAATAGCACAACTTTGTCCAGTAGGGCACACTCTCCACACCCTTTCCAAGTGCAGATCTTTGGCAAGTGCACCAGACACTGCCATAAGGCCTGGCACATCACTGCCTTCGACACAGGTATGGCAGCAAATGTTTTCCTGCAGTGTAATGCCCCTCTTTGGGGCTGACATTTACATCACAGCAGCTCCAGCACAGCACAGCACTGCTCACTGACTGGGCAGCCAGGAAACCAGCAGTGAGTCCACAATTCACAGATTCCAGGCTTCAGCAGGAGTGCTGTGGGTGCATTTGCCTGCAGGGATGTGACAGCTCTCATGCACAGCCATGGCTGGGCTCAACAGCTCCATTCCAAGATAACCGGGTTCATCACATAAAATGAATTCAAAACTTGCAGCCTTGGCCAAATGTTTGGATCACAGTTTAGTGATACTTACTGGCTCCTGTTACCACTTAACTCAGCATTAGTTCTAAGACTGTTATGCATTTTGCCTGACAGGGCATGAACCACTTAAAAGACATTGTAGTTGTGCTATCTAATTTAAGTAATTTGAAGCATCTAGCTTTGAAGAGAGTTGAATCTCAATGAAACTTATGTTCCCAATTTAATTGAGACTCAAAGGTAGTTGTATTCATACAGAAGATGAGCTCCCCTTGAAGCCTCCCCACAGCCCTGGATGCTGTGGGAGCACAGCCCAACCACTCAAGGATCCCTCCAGCCTTTTGGGCAGGTTCTGCCACATTAACCAAAACCTGCATTAACCACCTTCAGCAGACTGTGCTGTAAGTTTGCCCCCAAACAATTCCTTCCCACAAAGCTCCAGAGCTGCAATCAGTAGAATTCAGCACCAGCAGCTGGGACTGCCAGAGACACCAAAGGAACAGGACACTGGTGTGACCAGTCAGGTGTTCCCCTCAAACCAGTGAACTGCAGCATCCAGCTGCAGGTCAGCAGAAGTTTCTTCTCCATGATAACAAATAACCCCTCTTCATCACTGTATTACACAAGAAGAGAAGTTCTTAGTAATTTTTCCTAACACAGAGTACACATCCTATATTTCTGTGAAACTCCTGGGAGCCTGGAAGAGGGAAGCAACACCTCTGGGAGCAACCTTGCAGGTTTCTGCCCCACAGCTCCCTGCAGCAGCATGCCTGGGAAAGCTGCATGCACATCTGTGGGATTTTAGCTGGAACAAGGACTCTGACCAGCCCAGCAGAGCACAGGGCAGCAGTTTCAGGGCAGCAGCAGAGGCACACACAGAGAAGGAGCTGCCAGGCTGTTTGTAAGGTGTGAGCACAGCGTCACGCTGCCGGCTGCCAGCACGTTTCTGGGGGAGCCTGAAGGGGACAAAAAAGGCACAAGGCAGGAGAGGACAGGCTGGCAGTGCTGTTTGCTTTAGAGGAAGGTTGCCTTGGCTCCTGGCCATTGCACCGTGCCACCCCTATCCACCCTGATAAAGCACAGAGCAGCAGCCGCTCACTGATAACTGCTGCTGCCGCCCTCCCCCTGCTTTCTGCGCCTCCTGGCACATGAAAGGGGAGCATTTTCTGCAATTAAACCAAACTTTAATAGCTGGAGGAGCATACTTGTTAGTCTGATGAAATAAGGGTTAGTCTCTTTCACATTCTATAGCTGCCATCTCTGTAATTCATAGTTATTAATTCTTATTTTTAAGTAGAAAGTGAATCAGGTGCTGAACCTGTTTATAGCTACTCCCATCCTGTTGGCTAAAGGTTTGACTTCTGGGGGTAAAACTCAGAGCGTCTCAGGCATTTTAGTTTTGGGCCAAACATTCACCTTTCCTCCCATCAGATGTTAAGGTGGATTATTTTAATTACTTAATTACATTTTTTTTTTAGTCTTAGACTCCATTACCTCAAAACCTGGGCAGCTAATGCAGTGTAGAGGAAAGCCTGTTCTTGCAGAGGCCATTGCAAAGCAGCAGGACATTGAAGTTCATTGCCAATCTAATCTGAACTAGTTAGCACCAGGAAAAAGCCTGAGATAGCAAGAAACTTAAGAGTGCTCTTCACACCCTCCTTTTATGTAGTGTGGGCTGCTGGGCACTCACACTTAGTCAGCTCAGTGACACTGAGTTTGGCTCCTGCTCTGAGCTTCCTACTTTAAATGAACGTCCCTTTCCTTCTCCTCATTTGGGAGAAGGCAGCAAGTTTCACAACTTGGCTTCTTGCTGCTTCCAAAGCATTCCAGTGTCTGTGTGATGTTACATAATTGTTTCTGGCCGCAATGCTCCCAGCTCACTCTGGGCCAGCTCTGCATACCTTCCCTCGTGTCCAGAGGGACCGGAGCTCACAAACTCGGTCAGTGTGGCTCGCACCAGCTCCAGGCTGCCTGCCTGAAACAGGTTTCAAGGGAGCAAATGAAAAAGCAAAGGCACGTTTAGCAAGACAAGGGCACTCTGTGATCCTTGGAGAAATGCAAAGCCAGGTTACATCAGCCATAGGCAGATAGCTCTCTCTGTAACAGCCATGAGATTTTGCTAAAGGAAAAATCACCAAGTGTGGCCTGAACAGCACATGGGGAGAGCGCAAGAGAGCAGTGCAGTTGGGGTATAAACACTGGGGGAGTTTAAAAAAGGTACCACAAAAGTCAGTTTTAAACAATTCTAACAGAGATGCAACAATAGTTTTCTTCAGCTTAATTTCCTCATCAACTCACTTGTCTCACGAGGTTAATATTTAACTAATTAGTACTTTAAAAAAAAGGCAGAGATCTTGACAACTTTTACATTTTATACTTCCCTACAAGTTTCAGAAGCTGTTCTCTCCTTACAGCATCACTCTTGCATGTCAGGCCAGTTACCCCCCAAACACAATTAAACTATGTGGAAAAAAAATCAACTTTGTGGTATGTAATAACACCTTTCTAAAAACACCCCTGTGACAGTCAGAAACTGATGTTAGGGTACACCAGACAGAGCTCTCTGTACTTATTTGGAGCCTTCTTACCTTTAGCAGCAGGTCTGATGAGAGGTGGGATCTTTGTGAGAGTGACTGTACACTCAGGAGAGCCAACCAAACTACAAGCCTGGAATCCTCTCTCTGCTCCAAGACAGCTGTTTAAATATAGTAGGCAACCAGCAGCAAGAGAGGAGAGGAGGAGCCTAAGGGACTGGAGGTGGAGCAAGGAAAATACTAATAAGCATGACTCAGCAGGAATATTTCCCTTCCCAGCTCCTGAATGAATGCAGAGAAACTTCCTTAGTAATGTTCAGATGACTAATGTGACTACAGCAAAAGCAGGATTGCAGGAACCATGCCTGTCAGAAGTCCTGCACTGAACAAATTTTCCATTTTTAACCCTCAGGACCACACAGATACACAGTGGGTCTGAAAAGATTGATTTCAGTTTGTGTTTTTTTTTTTTTTCTTCAGTGAGATAAAGTGTTATAAGCCTTTTGCACAGTAGCAATAAAATGAGTCAAACTGCTTGCATAAAACCCAGAAGCCACCAGGGGTTCCATCCAAGGTATCTTACTCAATTCAGGGAATAATTGATCTGGCTTGCTAAATTTAAAATGCCCTTCACAAATGAAATACCTTTATCCCAAAGTGTTCGGTTCAAGTAGTAAATGAAGCACATGTTTATCTCTGAGGCCATCTGTTTGGAAACCACAATTTCCAGGAAATAGGGCTGCTGATACACAGTTAAAGTGCATACTTTCATTCATGTGATCTAAAAGATAAAACCAGTTCTTGAGAAGGATTTCTCTGCTCTCATGACTCCCATCAGAGCAGAATACTTAATATAAAGCTCTGTTTTAATTCCACCAGAATAAGTTGCTTTAATAAATGTGAGGCAATTGTTTCACTCAAAGTTTAGTTACCAGTCAATCCTTTGTAAAATCTGACTCAGTTAATGCTGTCAGACTGAAGAGGGTGGGGGGAGAGGGCTAAAGGCTTTTTCCAGTTTCCTGGGCCTTTATCCAAGGTAGCATTTGCACAGAGCTCTTAAATAACTCATACTGATTTTTTGACAGGAAAGGCTTTTATATGCATTATTCAGACATTTATTGGCATGTAACCAATGTGTCCATGTCAGCCATGGAAAAATTAAGCTTTCAGAGAAAATAAGGCATTTGTTTGCTCAGGTGATTTAAGATTGCCCTGTTACTAGGTTTTTCAAATCTGTCTTCAGTACATTGCAGTGGTGCATGTCAAACATTGTAGAACAAAGATGTTCAAGCCCATACTTGCTGATACCATAGATACAAGACAAAACCATATATGATGCTTTGGCTTTGTACTAAGGAAAATAAGGAATACTTCTTGTGTGTGCAAATCTTCAGAAATAAAGTTGTTCTCTCTGTAAAAAATAAGAGATCCTGTCCATTTCCTACTAGAATTTATAAATCTAGAATCTGTATTACCTTTGCAAATAAAGCCAGGATGGCTTTGCAAAACCGCAAGCTCTATCCTAGTTTTGTGCACAGTATAGTTCTTTACAGGAAAACGTTCATGTACAATAACCCACTGCCCTTTATTTGTTTGTACAATAAGACCATTGACCATAGCAATTTGGGAGCTTCTTTTCTGATATCCCTTTTGATATCCCTATCTTGATATCCCAAGAAACATATCACACAGAATAGACATATATCAAAGTAACTGTTTCTCCTTGTGTACCTTGACCTCAAACAAATGATTCAGCCCAACACTTTGGATAAACTTTCTAGAAGAAGAAGTAATTGAGCAATCTGTAGTTGGCCTTGCAGCCAGCCCTTGACCTACAAACTCATGCAATTCACTTCTATTTTTTTCCTGAACTGACAAAGCCATTTTGGTGGTGCACACATTTACAGACAAAGCCATAACATTGTACTGGGGAATACATTGCACCTGAACCAACCCCTCTTTCCTTAGAAAGAAATTTCCTTGTTACTTATTGACTTTTCACCTCAGGTTATGTAAGTTCTACCTGTCCATCTCCTGCTAATGAAACCTGTCAGGTAGCCCTGATTCTGCTGTCTCCTGATTTGAGGGAGCTCAAGCTCTGGTGTCAGAATTCATTGCTGACAGCTCATGGCAGAACCTTTCCTACAGCACCTCTCCAGCATCCACCCTTCCCTCCAGCCAGCCTTAAGGTGTACCAGACTGCTAAATTATCCTGACAAACAACATTTTTCACTCATTAGAACTTCATGTTCTGTTGGTTTTTTGTAATGACAGGAACACTCCCAGTGTGATCCTCCATGGGCCACTGTAGTGCTTTGATGCTTTGGTGTTTCTCTCAATTATGGTAAAACAGAAATCTAAAATTCTGCATGTTTTATGGCTAAGAGAATATTAAGTGTTCCATTCACTCACACACAGAATGCAGAACATTTAATCTAAGACAAAATACAAAATCAAGTGTTGGAAAATCTGATGAAGTATCTTGGTTCCATATGGTGTCTGTGCAGAACCTAAAACCCAGCTTCACTTTGTTGTTGCCTAAATCATCTCCACCTTTATCACCCAGAAAAGCTTACACTTAGAGTTATATGTTAGCTTAGATACCAAAACTGGGACCCACATTTGTAATGATAATAATTAGTTTGACATTAATACTGTGACAGTTTGCCAGGTTTCTTTTTGCTTCAGCTAAGAAAACCTACATTTGCCACCAACACCACAACCCAGACCACATCAGCAAGATGATGTAAATGTTGTGGCAGCCCCCAGTCTGAAGCAGCAGGTTGTGGCCATACCACTTCAGAGAGCAGTTGGCTGTCTGAGAAATGTGACTTGCTCTGCTCAATGGCAGAGGTAAAAAAGGCTGGGAAGTCCCAGACAATTGCTGGGTCTGACAGAAAAAGCAGCTTAGGCAATGCTGGAAGTATGAGACCCAGTTCTGCTCTCAGTTAAACTTGTGACTTCCTACATGTGTTTGTGCTTTCACATGGCTTCCTCTAAAGAAAGATTTGGCCCAGACCACATTTCCCAACTTTCCCATGTCCCTGCCAAGGCCATATCTCTTATGTGTTCATACCTCTTTTTGCACTGTTTAGGCAGCTGGGTCCAAAAGAAGAGAAGTAAAGGTTCACTGCACCCTTTTGTTGTTCACAGGGACATTGACCTCCCAGTCACATAAATGATTGAAATGGTTTTTTCTTAGTAACTTGCTAAATTGTTTAAGGAAAGTAAAAAAAGCAAAACCTTACATTTTGCTGGAACTCTTGTAAGAGGGTGATTTTTGCGTTTGCCTGCTTTCAATTAATTACCTTGAAATCATTCCCTGTCTGTTCAAAGAGGGTTGTCTTCCCAAAGCAATGAGATGAAACCAAAGGATTTCACCACCCTTCACTGGCCAGGGGCATCAGCCACTTCCACCACTTTATGGTGAAAACAGCTGTTAGGAAATAAACCTGGGGAGGTGACAATCAAGCAGGAGGGCTGTGGAGCTTTGCTGTCTGCATTCAGTCATGCCCTTGGCCACTCTGCAGCAAGGGCCTGTGCACAGCACTCAGTGTGTGCTCCAGTGCCACTGCCTCCCCGGGACATTCCCCACCTCCTGCCTGTCCTGGCTTGGGCAGCAAGAACAGTGGTCAAGAGAATCCCATAAACACACCCTGAAAGAGACATTCCCAGTACAACCCTGGGAGCCAACAGTGGATATTTTGCTAGAATAGTTTATTTGTGAAATGTCTGTGTAGAGAAGTAGTAGAGTGCCAAGTGGCTGTGCAGGCATTTCCTCAGAGAATGGGCCAGGATCACCATTTCCCTCCTCAGATGGCTGGGTGATAGCCAAATCTGGGGTGCTTCCTTTCAGAAATGAGTAGGATGCAAAGAAGTGCAGTCCTTAGGCTCAGGGACTAGAGCCATGCATGTTTCCCAGGAGTGGATCTTTGCAGATTCTTCATTCCCAAATGCCACAGGCAGAGGAAAGCTCAGCTCTGCCATCAGAGCTCCATCCTGAGCTCAACATTGATGTTTTGGGGAAAAGTAAACACACTTTCATATCAAACAAACAGCATCCATGACCTAGTCAAAGATTAAGCTACACATTAAACTGGTTGGGAATTTTCCTCTTATCTAAATGTCAATATATTCAAAATATTTACACGAGTTCTGGAGCACTGCATCATTTGAAGATACAGCCTTTAGTCATACAGTCATTAAGTCGTTGTTCAGTTATGTTCTTTTACTCTACGTGGGCATTTAGCAACTGATTCATTTAATACACTGCTCTAGAATACTATGGTGTGTGCATATGTCCCAAAGCACAAAATATCCTTCAAAAGTTAATGTTCATAATTTCTTGAGTGGAATAACTAACAGAGGAGAAAACTGGAAGTAGTAGGTACAGCTGAACTGTGAGCACTGAACATCTTCTCTGTACATACTTTCCCTTAGGGCAAAGCTGTAGTTTCCAAATAGAAGTGAGTAATTCAAAGGTGGAAAAGGAGCATGAGATGCTATGAGCTTGTTTAACTCAGCAACACAAACTTTCATAAACAGGGTTGCAGCAAGCCTTTGGAGTCTCTTGTATTAATTTCTTTGCCATAGCTTAAGCCATACTGCAGCTCTTTAACCCAAATTTAGTTTTCTCTACTTTACCAAGAATCACTTAATCAAGATAAGGGATTTTGTAGCATTCCTTAAAGGCTTTGAAACACATAAAGCTAAGGGCACCCAGAGGTACCCAGCCAGCATGTTCAATTTTGTCAAAGAAAAATAAGATTTTCTGTAGCAGAGCACAAGATTTAGAAAAGGAGTGGACTAGAGTTATCCTGCAGCTTCCTACCCTCAGGGTTTATTTTCATCTTCCTCTTAAGCACCTGATTCTCTCAGAGATAACAGCTGCTCAGATCCAGGTTAGCCAATCTGATATTCCTGACTTGCAACATTTCCTTTCTGCCATAACTTTGGGTCTACGTTCAAAGTGCTTTTTGCACGCAAGTCCTTCGTCCTTAAGAGTCCTTTCATGCACACTAAAAGGTCAATTGGAGTGATGTTTCCTTAAACCCCAATTTCCCTTCACAGCAGCTCCAACACTGACTGGCAGGAGTCAAATTTAAAGTGTCTATTCTGCATAAACCTGAGTGAACCAGT